AAGTTGGACAAAATATTTTGCCATTTTGCTACGGACTGGTGGAGTAAAACCCAAACACCCCCTCCTTTGGGACAACATGCTCACTGGGGAATTCTGGGAGTTGAAGTCCACAAGTCTTAAAGTTGTCATGGTGGGACAACCTTGCTGTAAAGAGACTTATAACCTAACTCTAATTTATAAAGAAATGGTGCTATCGTATGTCCCCTGAGATAACATATAACCCTAATTAAAACAGAAAAGGAAGTTTTGACAAAGTCTCTGTCCATTTTTAGACCATGGGAATTCAGCAAATCACATGTTTCTTCACTTCAAAATCTGGCCTCCACTGGCCTCCTTAAAACCTTTTGTTGCCATGTGCCTTTTTTCCACAGCTGAAGCAGCGTTTGATCCTGATTGAAAGACTGGCTGCCTGGGGTATGAACTTCTTTAGCTATTTAAATCCACCTTCAAGAGAGTTATCATATTCAGCTTAGCTTATCCATAAGTGAGTAGGCTGTCATTTAATTGCCCTCTGGAGAGCCATGGGGACATGGCCCGGAAGGAGGTATAAGGTACCCAACTAGCTGATCCGATGCAGAACACACAATGACTGCAAATGAGTTGGATCAAGTGTATGCATTTGGCAATGCTCCTGTGTTTTCCTTTCTTCCATGTAGATCAAGGCTGTCCCCCCACAGGTCCTTCTTAGAATATTTAACTACATTGGCAAATGCCGCCGATTAGGTTAGGTGCAGTGGTGGGATTCATTTTTCTTTACTAACGGTTCTGTGGGTGTTGGTTGGTGGGTGTGGCATGGCTTGGTGAGCGTGGCTTGGTGGGCATGGCAGGGGAAGGATACTGCAAAATCTCCATTCCTTCCCCACTCCTGGGGGAAAGTTACTGCAAAATCCCATTCCCCCCTCCACCTCACTAACCTGATTTCCAGCTCCGTTCTCCTATGCAGGGCAACAAAAGAAGACCCAGCCAATCAGCTGGGACTCAGGAGGCAGAGAATAGATGGAGGCAGGGCCAGTCAGAGATGGTATTTGCCAGTTCTCTGAACTATTCAAAAAAATTATTTATTTATTTGTTTTTATTTGTCAATTGCTTACAAGACAATAGGTATAAGTAAAAACATAGTTATGAATACATGGATACATATAAGAAAAATAAAAGAAACAATAGGACAGGGGTGGTAGGCATGTTGGTGCGCTTATGTACGTCCCCTACACACCTCTTAGGAAAGGGGGGAGTTCAATAGTAGACAGTCTAAGGTTAAAGTTTTTCGGGTTTTGCGAAAAAACCACGGAGTCAGGTGGAGTATTCCAGACATTGACCACTCTGTTGCTGAAGTCGTATTTCCTGCAACAAGTTTGGTGCGATTAACCTTGAGTTTGTATCTATTGTTTGCTCTAGTGTTGTTATGGTTGAAGCTGAAGTATTCATTGACAGGTAGGACATTGCAATGTATGATTTTATATACTATACTTAGATCGGACCGAAGGCGGCGTAGTTCTAGGTTTTCTAGGTTTAGAATTTTGAGTCTGGTGGCATAAGGTATTCTGCAACGAGTAGAGGAGTGGAGAACTCTTCTTGTGAAATATTTCTGGACTTTCTCAACTGTGCTAATATCAGATACGTAATGTGGGTTCCAGACTGATGAGCTGCATTCAAGTATTGGTCTAGCAAATGTTTCGTATGCTCTAGTTAGTAGTGAAATATCACCAGAGAAAAAGCTACATAAGATTAGGTTAACAACTCTTAACGCCTTTTTGATTATGTAGTTACAGTGGGCTCTAGCACTTAGGTCATTTGAGATGAGTACTCCAAGGTCCTTGACAGAGTTTGGATCATCAACGAGGTCTTGACTATTCAACCTGTATTTTATTTTCTGATTTGTTTTGCCAATATGTAGGACAGAGCATTTATATGTTGAGATTTGAAGTTGCCATTTGTTTGAGCATTCTGATACACAGTCAAGGTCTTTTTGAAGGGTAGCAGTATTGTCTGTGGTGTTGAATAGCTTTACGTCATCAACAAAGAGGATGCAGTTGCTCTTGATATGATCACAGAGATCATTCATGTAGAGTATGAAAAGAGTTGGTCCTAGAACACTGCCTTGGAGGACACCACTATTGACAGGTACAGAATTTGATAGGATCCTCCCAATGTTGACCATTTGTTGTCTGTTTGACAGTTACCAGTTCTCCAGAACTGGTCAGAACTTATTGAATACCACCTCTGGTAAGGTGTTCTTGGGCAAGATGCCCTCAAGAGGTTTACTTTTCCTTTCTGCTACCACTCCTTTTTTCCCATTCTTTTCTCTCTTCCACTGGATCCAAGCCACATAACTCTCTATAGGAATGTCTCCCACCTTTTTGGCTACCAGGGTCCGCTTCTGTAGGGAGAGGCTTTTCTGTGGACAGTAGGGGGTGTGGTTTTGTGTGCATCCCATTGATGGGGCTTCACTTATATGCATGGCCCAGCTGCTGGCATGCTGCAAACCAGTGCCAGTCCATGGACCAGTGACCCTGCTCTACAGGACAAAATTCTCTTTTCAACCTTGCTTCTTGGGAGACGGGAGGTGAAGAGGAAGAAAGAGCAAGAAAAAGCAATCCCTGGGAAATTTTAGAAATCTGATGGTGTGAGCCCCTGGCCCTAGTGTTTGGACCAGTTGAGGAAGGCTAGGATCAAATAAGATATTACAAGGGATGACTCTGCTATGAATCTCTTGCAGACAGGAAGCAATGAAGACAGAAGAACCTAGATGGCTATGTATCGATTAATCCACTATCTGTCAAGTGCAGGAAATCCAGAGTCAAGGCAGTTCAAATGAGTTCAGGTTTATTGCATGCGAACACTCTCTACGAGAATCTGAACTACTAATAGTCAAATCCATTTGGTGGTAGATAAGAATTCAAGGTGGGATAGACTTAGATCTCCTGTGGACATGAAGGAACTTGAGACTGATGACACACTTGACTTCTCCCTCGGGCTCAGCCTGCTCTTCTCCTATAGTATCATTTCTGATTGAAAAGTTGTATCAAGAATTTGAAGACCCACCACATCCCAGAAAAACAGGACAATGTCAATCCTATGCCCAAGAACAACTTTACAAGGCATTTTTTCTTGTAGGGAACTTTTAATACATCTCCATACATTAAATCCCCAACAGGTTAATATAGCAAGCCAAACTTCAGTTTGATCATACCCACTTTGTGAAGAAAAGGCAGTGGGATAGGAGTGAGATTCCTTTGACTGGAATGGAATGGAATGGAATGGAATGGAATGGAATAGAATAGAATAGAATAGAATAGAATAGAATAGAATAGGAATACTTCATTGGCCAAGTGTGATTAGACACACAAGGAATTTGTCTTGGTGCCTATACTCTCAGTGTACATAAAAGAAAAGATACATTTGTCAAGAGTCAAGAATCATAAAAAATCATTAAAGATGAATGCCTATAATCTTGATTACAATAAAACCTTCATATCCTCATGATTTTGTTTTTCAACTGTTGAATGACTAGAATGTCCATCTCATTTCTGACCTACTATTGCCTGGATCTGGTTGTCCATTATGAGCTGATCCTGTGTGAAAGGAATATAATCAGTGAGTAACTTAGTCCTATGTAGCCCATTCTTACTTCTAGGTATGGGCACTGAAAATGAAAGAGGAATAATTAAGTTACCAGGAATTTTTTTTTTAAATGGAGCATGTGTGAATCTCCTTTCTCCAAAGGCTTTGGAGAATAGAATAAGGAGATGTTTATTACATTTCTACAATTAACTAAAGATAATCAGTTATAAAGAAGTAACATTATGTTTCCTGTTGAGATTTGGTCTGCAGTAACAATAAATCTCAGCAATAGCTATAAATGTAGGATAATCTATTCTCTGAGATAATTTGATTCTAATGAATTTCTTATGCAGATAGTCCTCAATTTACAACTGTTCACTTAGTGACAGTTTGAAATTTCAGTTACAGAGCACTGAAAAAAGTGACTTATGACCATTTTTCACACTTATAATTATGGCAGCATCCCCGTGGTCATGTGATTGGATGCTTGACAACTGACTCACATTTATGATGGTTGCAGTGTCCCAAGGTCATGTGATCACCTTTTGTGACCATCTGACAAGCAAAGTCAATGGGGAAGTCAGATTCATTTAACAACTATGTTACTAACTTAACAACTGCAATGATTCAATGTGCCGTGATTCACTTAACAAATGTGGCAAGAAAAGTCGTAACGTGGGACAAAACTCACTCAACAAATTTCTCACTTAGCAGCATAAATTTTGGGCTCAATTGTGGTCATAAGTTGAGGACTACCTGTATTCATTATAATAAATATATATAATGTTTATTCAGGATCTTCATTAGAGTACTAAAATCTAATGCAAATTAGTAGAAAGAACAGAAAGAAAGGCAAAGGTGCAAAAGAGAAGAAAAATATAGAAAATAGAAAGTAAAACTATTATGAAGAGAAAAATAAGACCCTCTTGTCCTTGGTTGGTAAGATTTGTGTGAGCAAAGAATTTCTGTACTGCTTTTGGCAAGAAGGGATTAAAACGGCATAAATAATCTTGTTGGTATTAAATATTTTGCAAAAGCTAAGCAGGCCTGGGCTTAGCTGGAAAAAATATGTTTAACCTAACTCAGATCTTGTGGTGCAGTTTTAAAATTGACTTCTGCACATTTAACTGGCTGTATGTTTTGTACAGGCTGAAATGACAAATATTTTTTTGGTTCTAGAGGTTTTGGGGTTGGGATGGTAACTTCTGTTATGTAAAAGATGTGTGGATTGAGAATTGAAGGTGGACAGTCCAGTACAAAGATTACAGATGGTGGTTTTTACATAATGGATAATTCACAGTTAAGCACCTTATTCAGATTCAAAAGATAAACATCCAATTAGAGTCTTTGCAAGCTTCCTTATTTAAAGGCAAGGAACAGCCGAGTCATCTATAGTGCTACAAGAGTCAGAATTATTTGCGATGAATTTGAGAAGCTCCAACAAGATATCAAGGTAGGTTTTTCAGAAAGTTTGTTTAGAGAGTCTGTTTTTGTTTGCTTATTCAGTTATTTGAAAGAAATGCCATGTTCCTTGTTAGCAGATATTAATGTAATCTTAAAGAGTCCTCTCTTTATTGCTTTCATGAGACAGAGATCAGATAGCTGGATTGATGGATAAATGCCTACAAGAGTTTTGTTCTCTGTTTCATGAGTTAGGCCTAGAACATATGGAGGTTTTCAGCTATTCTGAGGATAACAGAGACGTCAAATCTTATTAGAAAAGAAAGATCTTGCCAGCTTAAATCAGTTCATTGTAAGCAGATAAATATTGCAGATAAAGTCAGGACTTCCAGTGTGCAACATATAGGAACTCTAGTTTTGGGAAAGCTGTGTGTGAATTCTCCCCCATTTGGACAATAGATTTAAGAACATTGCGTCTTATGTGTCCAGTAGGCTTTCAGCGGGGCAGACTGTTTGATTTGTTACTTCACAACATCACATAACACAAGAAAACACACACATTTAGTCTTTGCAACTAGGAGAGCCAGAAACTAGACCTTTGCTCAGAGATCAAAACCAACCAAAAGGCACTGCTATTGTCATTTTCAATAAACGATTGCAAAAAGTCAGAGGCAACCCAAGAAAAGTTACGTGATACCTTATCTAGTTTAATGGAGCCCTCTGAGAATCACTTAAAAGAGAGCATCCCAAATGTTGATTGCAATATGGTACACTTCCTGATCTAGATTCATAAGTAATTAGCTAATTAGTAGTTTGGGATGAACAGTGCTGATAATTTTGCAAGATGGCCCAAGATTGTCTCAGTAAAATATTAAAGGAACTGAATTATTATGCCAAAAAAAAAAAAAAAATCATCATGAGTTGAGCTCAAAAATGAGCTCAATTCATGATGATTTTATGAACACATCCAGGGGGAGTTTCTTAGGGTTTCTTATTATAGAAGTGGTTTTCTATTACTTTCTTCAAAGTTATCTTTTTTTCATCTTCTTAGCCTACAGACCTCAAATTCCCTAGCAGTCTCACATCCAGCTATTAATTAGCTCTGAGCCTGCTTAACTTTTTCAAGATTAGCTAAGTTCAGGTAGGAGTTATTCTCTGCTTTTAATAAATTGATGGGTAAGAAGCCACCATCTGCTTATATCATCACCTTGACCCTTGCTGAATGGGCTTTTTCAACCCTGGAAATTTTAAGTTGTATAGGCAAACTCCCAGAATTCCCCAGCCAGTATGCTGGCTAAGGAATGCCAGGCGTTGAAGTCCAAACATCTCAAAGTTGGAAACATTGATCCGGAGGACTTCATATTATTTTGCAATCCTAAATGTTTCCAAGACTGGATAGATGGAAAGTCTGCTGGGAGTTATTGTAATACTGGTGGTAACATCTAAAGAAGGAGATTGCATGTTGTAGTCTAGATCAGGGGCTGCCAACCTTTTGGACCTCAGGGACCGCCATACTCATAATTTTAAATCTCACGGACCACTAATATGAATTTTGACTGATGGTGACTTGCTGATGTTGCTGAGAGAGAGAGAGAGAGAGAGAGAGAGAGAGAGAACATCACCACCAGATTTCTCTCTCTCCCTCTCCCTCTCCCTCTCCCCCCCTCTCTCTCCCACACACACACACAGAGTGGTCCCTCACCCGCCACCCACTCCAAGACAGCCACATTCCTAACCTGCTTTTCAGCTCCATTCTCAGTGGGAGGGGGAGAGAGAGAGATCTGATCTAACCTCGGAGGGCTGGTGGTGATGTTCTCTCTCTCTCCCTCCCTCTCTCCCTCCCTCTTTCTCTCTCTCTCTCTCTCTCACATACACACACACAAAGGTCCCTCACACACACACACACACCCTCCAAGGCAGCCACATTCTGTGGGCCACGTGGGCGGTGCAGCCTTGTGTTCCTGCGCAGCCTGGATTAATTGCTTTGGGGGGTGCTGTGGGGGTGACATTTCTCTGTGGACCACCAAAATTTTCTTGTGGACCACCAGTGGGCCACGGCCCACCGACTGGCAACCACTGGTTTAGATAACAACTGAAGTGAGGCTTTAGATTTTGCTTTCTGTAAAGTTTCAGTTGTGAGAGAACTAAAATCTTTTTTTAAAAAATGTTATCATTTGAAGCAACATATAGGAACTCTAGTTTTGGGAAAGCTGTGTGTGAATTCTCCCCCATTTGGACAATAGATTTAAGAACATTGCGTCTTATGTGTCCAGTAGGCTTTCAGCGGGGCAGACTGTTTGATTTATTACTTCACAACATCGCATAACACAAGAAAACACACACATTTAGTCTTTGCAACTAGGAGGGCCAGAAACTAGACCTTGCTCAGAGATCAAAACCAACCAAAAGGCACTGCTGTTCTCATTTTCAATAAACGATTGCAAAAAGTCAGAGGCAACCCAAGAAAAGTTATGTGATACCTTATCTAGTTTAATGGAGCCTTCTGAGAATCACTTAAAAGAGAGCATCCCAAATGTTGATTGCAATATGGTACACTTCCTGATCTAGATTCATAAGTAATTAGCTAATTAGTAGTTTGGGATGCACAGTGCTGATAATTTTGCAAGACGTCGCATTTGACAAGTGATCCCTCTCCATCAGTTTGAAGTGCTGTGGTTCAGCAGGTCTTTTGAAAAACAGGCCTTTTCTCGCTGTTTTGTTTTAATTCTTGAGACAATGAATATTGATTAATGGTGAATTTTAAAATCTCGGAGTTGTCTTTTGAGTGAATAGGCTGCGAAGGTGTCGGAAACAACCACATTGGAGAAAGGAACAGGTGACTTGGAAGCAGGTGTAAATTAATCAGATCCAGGGAAGACTGGCACCATTTTGCTTTAGAAACCCAAAAGATAAATGACATCTGTGATCATAAGCAGATATTAACTGGGGAGATAATAACCTGCTGTCTTTTGCATTCAAGCAATTCTCTACGCTGGTATTTCAGCAACCATCAATCTCAACAATTGCAATTCTGGGATGGTAGAGAGTAGCAGGCTTCTTTGGAAAAGCTAGGTTAAAAAAAGCTTCAATGGATACAAAAGAAAGAATAAGATTGCAGCCATAAAATTATTCAAAGGGGAACTGTAAGAGAAGAGCATAGACAATGGCAAAAGGATTTACTCTAAGTGCATATTTAATGTATGCATATGGAAAGTTGGGTGTGTGTGTGTTAATGGTCCAGGTGAAGTATTCCACCACAAGGGGAAGTAATTAATGTCAGAGGTATGTTTAGCACAACCTATGATTTACAAGGTGTCATTATAGCCCTAAAAAGGCTTTGTTCTCTCATTATAGCCCTAAAAAGTATAGCCCTCTCATTATAGCCCCTCAATCATTTTCATCATAGTTCTTGCAATCAAGTTGAGCTGAATAACCAGAAATATATAGGGTATACCCCCTGAAAGTTGCTGCCATGTTATAATATTGAATGTGGCCCAAGGGGGACATTATGACATGCATAGATAATTATTAATTAATAATCAATTTATCATATTAATTGAGCTAATACAGTCTTTCTTCAGTCATGCTTTAATTTCCCTTTATATTAAATATTGCATTTGTCCTTCTCACAGTCACAATTTTGTGCTGACTGCCTTTTTTTTCTTTTGGTTTTATTGTGGTTATTATCATATCCCTTCAAGGGCAACCCTCCCAAAATGATTTGAAAGTCTGAGCTAGAGGGATTGATTGAAAGGTTCTTTAATTGGATCATTAGTTAGGAACACTCCGTCTAATTATTTGGCCTTTTGAGTTGCTTAATGCCCATCTTGTTCTGTGACTTGACCTCAGATTCAACTCCAGTTTATTCACTTGTGACCGTATCTCACAGAGATTACTTGTAGTAAGTAGGAATGTATGCCCTGACTTTGAACTCAAAGTGAGGGAAGAATCTTTAGTAGTGAAATACTAGAACAGGGGTCCCCAAACTTGGCAACTTTAAGACTTGTGGACTTCAACTCCAGAATTATCCAGCCAGCTGGGTTAGGGTTAGGATTTGATCAGCTGGCTGGAGAATTCTGGGAGTTGAAATCCACAAGTCTTAAAGTTGCCAAGTTTGGAGACCTCTGTACTAGAAGATGAATGCCGGTAACCAAGTAAATAAAAACGAGACATTATGGTGGATATAGCTGTCTTTTTAATCTGAGCTGAATTCTGTTGCTTTTACAGAATGAAATACAATCACTATACCCTCCTGATGACCCTGATCTTCATGATTAATGATTGCATGGGACAGACTTCCTGTGTGGTGGATTCATTTACTGTGAAGGAAGACTTTGACCCCAAACGGGTAACTACGAACACTTTCTAATATCAAGGGCGAAGAGCATGTGGATTGAATTAAAATCATTAGTTGAAGTCCACATAACTTTGTGTGCATGAACCGGACTTGGTGTCTAAAATGTGTCACTCTTAGCAGAGTCAGTTTTGATTTTGTTTTTTTGTTTTTTTTAAATCTCAACTTACTTTGCTCCTGGGAACCCACAGTATTTGGAAGTCAGTCTTATTCCTCTTCGTTTTATAGTTTTGGCTCAGGAGATACGCATGCTGTACAGTATCTGGGGTGGGGTGAGAAATGATCTCCTGTATCTGTTTCATGCCCCTCCTGCAGCTAATTTAGGAAGGAGAGTGATCACCAAGGCAGGCAAAGCAACCTAAAATCTCCTTCAAATCCAGCTCTACTCTTGCTGATTTCATAGCAGTCAGGGTCCATATTGTTTTTTTGACAATAATATGAGAGCAGTGTCACATTGCTTTCTCTTGGTTGTTTGGTTGTGTTGGGTTTTTTTGAAAACTATTCATTCATTCACTCACTCACTCAATCCTCCACTCCACTCCACTCCACTCCACTCCACTCCATTCCATTCCATTCCATTCCATTCCATTCCATTCCTCCATGATTTTTGTGCTGCCTATCTCACCTTGAGGCAACTCTGGATGGCTTACAAACTTTAAAAGTCGGTAAAACATTACACAATAAATAACAATAATAATTTACAATTAAAGGTTGAGGAGGAAGAGGGAGTGCTACACATAAGGAGTGGTGGGGGTCTTCTCTTAACCTGTCAACCAATTCCAGTGTAATGCACCCTGTTGGACACCCCCCCAGGCCAACTGGCAGGTCTTCAGATCCTTAAAGAAGGTTCTCACCTTGGGGAGGTGAGGGTACAATGTTTCAAAAGGAAGGAACCATGACCCAGGCTCTTCTCCTCTGGGTCTCACCAGTCAAAATTCCTTGACTGATAAGGTCCACAGCATGCCTTTTTTTGCAGGCCTGTACTATTGGGGTGAGATGGTTCCTCGGTTAGCCTGGACCCAGATTAACTTCCCAGTCTATTCCACACTCTTTAATATTTCTCAGTGGTTCCTATTTAAGTTTTAAGTATGCCTGACTCGATTTAATTTCCCAGCCCAAAGAAGCAGCTGTCAACTCGGAGGCTCTTCCAAGCAAAACCAAAGAAGTGCAGGGGGGCTTTGGGCCATTGAATCCAAAACACTGGGACAAAGTGTCTCACGTAAATAAATGACAGATTGGTTAATCTGTGTCTGTCCAGTTCTTGCTGAATTATATTCTCAGCAGCCCCAACCCATATGCCAATAGTGAGGTATGATGGGAGGCATAATTCAATAAATCTATATGGGTACAAATTCCCCAATTCAGTGTCTGGTAGATCACCTCCCACTAGGAAAACAAGAACTGTATTTCTTCAACAGTTTGTTTCCATTATTAATTGGTCCTTTATATCAATGATTTTCTTAATGTGTGTCATGCCCCTCTTGGAATCTGATTCTGAGGGGGAGGTTGAGCAGCTGACAGGGAGTGGGAGTGTGGCTCCGGTGGCTGCGGAGGAAACTGGGGCAGGCACAGTCCAGCTGGGCATTCAGAGTAAGACCCAGGTCTACCCCCTCTTCATCCTAGGGCACGCAGGGAGGAACGGATAAAGGAGCAACATGAGTTACGTGGGTCACGGGGGAGAAAAGGGCCCTGATTCCCTTCATTAGCTGCAGCTAATTTTTATTGTAAGAAATAGATTGTTACTTGATTCTTCTGTTTGAATAGCTTTCAGCTTTTATTAATCTCCATGTATTTATATTCTGCCTTTATACAGTATATGTTTTTATAAATAACTCAAGGCAGCAAACAAATTTCTAATATCCTTCCCTCCTCCTATTGTCCCCACAACAACAATCCTGGGAGGTGTGTTGGGCCAAGAGTTGGACTGGCCCAAAGTCACCCAACTGGCTTTTATGCTGAGGTAGGAGTGGAATTCAGTCTCCTGGTTTCTAGACTGGCACCTTAATCAATAGACCCAACTTCCAACTATTCAGACAGATTCAGGATAGAGTTGTGGGGTTCACTGTATCCAAATTAGTCAACTGTTTAAGATCTGTGTTTAAATTAAGGACACGTAGGCAATCAGTTTGCAAGAGTATCTCCATCTTTTCTTCAGATCCAGTTAATACTTGAACTTTAGTCATGTCTTGTGCAGTGTTCATTGTGAAGATGTATTCACTGTCCTTACCTATTTATTTATTTATTTTTGTATTTTAGTATGCAGGTAAATGGTATGCTCTGGCCAAGAAAGACCCAGAAGGATTGTTTTTACAGGATAATATCTCAGCTGAATACACCATTGAGGAGGATGGGACTATGACTGCGTCTTCCAAAGGCAGAATGAAGCTTTTTGGGTAAGCTGCAGCTGCATATGAATAGCTAGCATTTCTGTGTATCATTAGGCACTTGTTCGTTTTATGCAGAATTACATTTTTGTGATCAAGATGCCCAGGGACTCTGATGTGGAAGTCACGAAGTGGAAGCCCTGGCTCATATAGCCATGGCTCATTGAATAACACTGAGTTTGCACAAAAGTAACCCACCACTCACAAATCACAATGACTTGTTTCACCCAGCAAAATTGGGGCAAGCCAAGCAATAGCAATAGCAATAGCACTCAGACTTATATACCGCTTTGCAGTGCTTTACAGCCCTCTCTAAGCGGTTTGCAGGGCCTGCCTATTGCCCCCAACAATCTGGGTCCTCATTTTACTGACCTCGGAAGGATGGAAGGCTGAGTCAACCTTGAGCCAGGTGATGTTTGAACTGATAGCCGGCAGTCAGCAGAAGTAGCCTGCAATGCTGCATTCTAACCATTGTCCCACCGCGGTTCTTAGGTTAAGTAACCTATGTTATTATTTATTTATTTATTCATCGGATTCTTATCCTTATTTACTGTTTTTTATAAATTAACTCAAGGTGGCAAATATGCCTAGTACTCCTTCCTTCTTCTATTTTTCCCACAATAACAACCCCGCGAGGTGAGTTGGATGGAGAGAGAGTGACTGGCCCAAAGACACCCAGCAGGCTTTTTATGCCTCGAGGTGCGGGGTTGGGGTGGGGGTGGGGGGCGAGGATGGGTCTCCTGTTTTCCACCTGGTGCCTTAACCACACAATATGTGAATTCAGGCATTGTGAAGACTGCAAACAAGTAAAATGAGGTCTTCCAGACGGTTTGGTGATCAAAGTCTTAATCTGCAGAGTTAACCATCAACAGTGCTGGGAATTGTAATCCAAAGGATATTATAGAAGGCACCAAGTTGCAGTTGCTGAAAATTACACTATATGTTTAGATCATCCAGCAGTGATTAGTGTGTGTCAATTCGGTTGTCTGTTGTCACTAATCTAGGTAGTCTTCAACATACAACCGTTTCACTCAAAAAAGTGACCACTCAAAGTTAAAACGGCACTGAAAAAAGTGACTTATGAACCATTTTTCACACTTATGACTGTTGCAGCATCCCCATGGTCACATGATCAAAATCCAGATGCTTGGCAACTGACTCATACTTAGTCAGGTTCCAGTGTCCTGGGGTCATGTGATCACCTTTAGCAACCTTCTGGCGAACAAAATCAATGGGTAGGCCAGATTCGTTTAACAATTGTGTTACTAATTTAACAACTGCAGTGGTTCATTTCAGTGCTTCCTGGATTTACTCAATATGACAAACCAGAAAATCACAGAATAACTTAGGTTTATGCATCATACTAACTAAGCCACAACAATCCCAACCAAGATTAAAAGTTGCAAATTTTAGCATTTTTGTGGAAATGTAGACACCAAGTTTGTTGTGCAAGTTGCATGAAGAACAAGGAACAACTAATGCAGAGCAGATGTGAGGCAAGCAAGTTGCTCTTGGCATGACATGGTATATGGCTTTGAGCTATCATCTTAATAAACCAGTCTTTCTCAATCTCAGAAAATTTAAGGTGTGTGGACTTCAACTCCTGAATTCTCCAGTATGTATTTACTGTAATAAACAGTACTGTACTGGAATCAGGACAGGATGCAAGCATAGTATATTCCAGGCAAAAGAGCAAAATGTTAGCTACATGGGAAAAATTTAATTTTGGTATCTTTTTGTTTCAGATTCTGGATGATTTGTGCCGATATGGCTGCTCAATATTCGGTACCTGACCCCACCACACCAGGCAAAATGTTCATGAATTACCAAGGCCTGGCAAGCTACTTGTCAAGTGGAGGTCAGTTTTTTTTTCCTTTCAGTTTTTAAGCAGAGCATGAGCGCAACATCATTTTCCTACCTATCTTTTTAAAAATAATTGTCATTCAAACTTTTTAAAGTGAAGTTAAAAACTAACACCAACCAATATAAAGTAAGAAAGAAAAAGGAGAAATCAAAGAGAAAGCTAACAGTGAAAGAAATAAAAAGAAAAATAGAAAAGAAAAAAAAGGTACCAAGGAGGTGTTTCCAATTTTCTTTACAATAGTTGTTAGTACAATTATAAATATATTTATTTCTCTTCTTTTTACAATCTATCTTGCCTAATCATCAAGTTTTTTATATCATTTCTCACCTAGAAAGGGACATTATTATCTCTGACAATGGAGTAAATACATTGGATTGCATCGTATATGCCATTAACATGTCAAACACATTGATTGCATTGTATGCCATTAACATGTCATATCTTTAATGACTATTATTTTACCTTCTGGTAGAGAATTCTATCATTCAATTAAGTGTTGCAAAGAGAGAGAAAAAAAGGAAGTTCTGAATCTCTCACTGTTTCATTAGATGACTCCAGAATTAGAGAGGAAGAGACACTTCTATTTAATTTCACTATGTTGTGCATAATTTTAGGCATCCCTTCGCTACCTGTTTCCAGCCATATTTTTTTTTTTTTGCTTTTCCTCTAAGTTTATGGCCAAGAATGTATGGGAAAAACTATGTGCCATACATTCATGTCATCCTAGATATATCAGAATATTCTGAAATGGTGCTTAAAATCCAAAATTAAATCCATTTGAGACTCCAAGGTGCTTCTTCAAAAGGCAACTTGACTGTTTTTTCCTTGAGGAAGAACATTTTTTTCCTTGAGGTTCTTCTTCCTCAAGGAAAAACCAGTCCAGTTGCCTTTTGAAGAAGCACTTTTTTTTTTGAAAATTTTATTTGGGTTTTCACAAAAACAAAATACAAATAAAACATCTTTTTTGAAAATAGCATGGTCCCAGGTTATCACTTCTTCATACAGACACAAAACTCAATTTCATGCTCATTTTTATATTCTATTCCATATCTTATTACCATTTTATATTTTCTACATTTCCCCCCTCTTTTAATTTTCTCAACTTTGTTTTAATTATCTCAATTCAAATCATTATATTTATACTTTTGTCTGTCCTGCTACAATTTCACATTGTCTTTTCTTATTAAGCAAATTTTTCCCTGTAGTTACCAATTAAGAGTATGACACCTTTATATCCTTTAATTTTATCCATTCAAGCTCTTATTTAAGCTTCAATGTATAGCTTTAAGATTATAGCATTCAATATAATACATAACTTCCAATCGAATTCTGCTTGGTACATTCTTAAAATAGACACTATATTCTTAAAAAGAAAAAATTATATGTATATGTAAATAAAACACATTCCCTTCCAATTCAATTCTATCATTAATATGCATTAAAATCTTAACATTTTTAACATTTCTTTTCAATTGAATATCATACTTCCTTGGGAACACTTATAAACTTTCCATAGTTAATTCTTTTTTTCCCATATTTCTCACTTACGTTTTTATAAATCATTACTAATAATTAAAAATGTTCCCTTTTAATTCTCTCAATCATTTTAATTCATTTATTTATTAACACACATCCCACTGCATTACAATAAATATTTTATCCATCATCATATTTTCTAAAGTTATTTCTATTTGTAATATAACAAAGCTATCTTATGTACCTTTTACAATTAAATTTTCACCCATTATCTCTAAACAAACTTACGGTTACAATCCTTGTATCTTTTCTGTTTCTCTATTTCTTGTTTCTGTCTTTTACAACTTCTTTTCTTTGCCTTCTTCCCCCTCTTCTTCTCCCTCCCCTTTTTACCCCCTCGTCTCTTTACTTCTAACTCTCTCATCTGTAATCCCTCTTCTGTTGCTTTCTAATATTATACTTATCTTTCAAATTGTTCTTCTTCTTTTTGGTTGTTTTTTCTAATCTTAAACCTTTCACTCTCTTTCCCCCCTTTTCATTTTTCCCCCCACTTAAAATTATTTGATCACTAAAGATGGCTTCTTCTTTGTCCCAATCTTCTTGTTCTGCAAACGTTTCTTGTTGCTTCTCATAGTTCCAGATCTCCATTTCTAAGAATTGAAACACAAAGCCAAAGAACTTCTCCCTTCTTGTGCGTCTTTTTTTTCCATTTTTTAAGTTCCGTTTTCAGTTCTTCTAAGAGTGATACCATTTTAAAAAATTTTAAACAACCACCTAGTTAATCTAGATGCAAAAACCAAAAATCACCAAGTAATCCAAATAATCCAAGGCTGTTTCTACTTGCTTCTTTTTTCTACTTTCTCTTCCTGGGGTTCTATTATTTTGTTACCAAGTTTCCATTAAAATGTATCTTTGAGGAATCTTGTTAAAATTTCACTGTAAGTTCCTTTTAATTACAGTTCCATTCCTTAATTCCAGGCAGCCCCCTCCATTTTTCCAGATCCTGCCCTTCTATTCTTTTTTTTCTCCTTTCCAGCTTTTAAAAACTTTTAAATGTCCAGAAATCTTTATTATCCCTTTGACTTTTATTTTCAGCTTAGATGCCTATTAATGTCAAAGTGGATTTTTTTTCAATTTCTTGCTTAAGTCTCTTAGCTGTCAGTATAAGGAAGGGAAGAAAAAAAAAACCTAATCCTTTCCCTTCTCTTTCTCCTTCGCAGTTTCAAAATCTTTGGGAACAATGTTGTTAAGTTTAAATTCCAGGGTACCTTATTTGTTGCTTTTGCTGTTTGACCCGGTCAACCAAAACTTTCTCTTCTTATCTTCCTCCTGCACATTCTTTTCCAGTAGAATTCTTCTTTGTGGTGGCCATTTCTAACCACCGCTACAACCGCCTTTGGGAAAGGGAGTAATGGCTAGCTGGGGAGGAGAGATGCAGCTCTCCTCAACCCTGCAGGCAGTCTCCTCCCTCTTCACCACCTCTACAGAGTGGCTTAGCCCCGAAACCAGCCGGCTCGGGGCGCTCCAGCCACAAGCACGGATCAAAGCCTCGGAGAAACGAGGTTTCGGTCTGTCACCGAAGAAGCTCAAACCGGAAGTCCCTTGAAGAAGAAGCACTTTGGAGACACCTATGATCTGGATGACTGAGAATCTCCACATATATATCCATTTGAGTGTTTGCAGTCTTACTGGCATTATCTTAGTCCTTTGTATGCGTATCCCTCTATTTATTGTTGATTGTATGACTCATTGTTTTAGTTAAAAAATATTCAAGATGGCTTCAGTAAGAAAGAAAATTATGTCCTAATTTTAAAAAACTTCTGATTCCTTTCTGTAATGCCAGCAGAACATTCTAAAATAAATTCAGTTTAAATTCAAAGCAAAGTCACACAATCCACTAAGAATGAAACTTGATGAGGTAGATTAAATTTAGAGGTTTCCAAACTTTGGCAATTTTAAGACATGTGGAGTTTAATTCCCAAAATTCCCCAGCTAGATGGGGAATTCTGGAAGTTGAAGTCTACACATCTTAAAGTTGCCAAGATTGGGAAATCCTGCTTCAGAGTGCATCTCAAATAGCGGAAATCGTGACTTGAAAAACATCTTAGTAATGGTGGGAAAACCTACACTGTCATATTTTCTAGCAAGAAAAATTATGTCACTCTACTTCTTTTTCCTCTCTCCCTGTTGCTGCTTTCTATCTTTGTTAAGAAAGATGAGCAACACCTTGAGGATATTAAGATATTAATCCTTCAAATGACAAATCTGGGTAGTTAGCTTTTCTCTTTGTCTTTTCAAGGTCTATGCCCTATACTCCCAGGAAGGTTTTTCTAAATTCTGATTTTGTGTGTGTGTGAACAAAAACATGCAGGAAGGACATAGGGTCCCTGAATTAATACTGATTCTTTCGTTTCTGACACAATCAATAGTTAACAGAACTCATTATGTACACTGGATTTTTTATTCCAGGTGATAATTACTGGGTGATTGACACAGATTATGATAACTATGCCATCACCTATGCTTGCCGCACTGTGAAGGAGGATGGGTCCTGTGATGATGGCTATGCCCTTGTTTTCTCCCGCAACCCTCGGGGCCTTCCCCCTGTCATTCAGAAAATTGTGCAGCAGAAACAGGAGGAAATCTGCATGTCTGGCCTGTTCCAGCCTGTGCTACAGTCAGGTATGTGGAAAGGCCCGATGGCTCCAGTCATGAATTTAACTTCTGTGGGGCAACACGGAGCACTGATCTATCAAAAGACCGAATTTGGTATAGACTATGGAAAGGAAGAATGTGGGAAAGCTGTTCCAGTCTAGGCCTGTGATGGTGAACCTATGGCCCGCGTGCCAGAGGTGGCATGCAGAGTTCTCAGTGGGCATGCTCACCATTACCAGCTGATCTTCTGGTTTCTGGCCAGTTGGTCTTCGTGGGTGCTGGAGCACCGGAAAACAGTCTGAAAAATGGCCTGTTTTTTGGCCATTTTTTGAGCCATTCTGGGGGCTTTTTCGAGCCATTTGTCATGCCAAAAACAGCCTGAAAACACCCCAAAATGACCCCAAAATTACCAAAAATGGGTCAAAAAATGGCCTGAGAATGGCCCTCCAAATGGCCAAAAAACAGGCATGCGCACCCCAGCCAGCTGGTCTTCGGTTTTCTGGAGCTCCATATATGCACATTCCAGTTTGGGCACTCGATGCTGAAAAGCTTCACCATCACTGCTCTAGACAATTCTAGCCCTGGCATCAGATTCTGAGATCATGAGAATTCCTGGTGCATGATCGATACAATTGCACCAAACCATAATTTTAGCACTGATAAAGACCCCTCATAATATCGTTTAATTGGTTTGGCTTGGCATGTTGTGTAAACCTTAAACTATAGGATCTAAGAAATTGTGGTTTAATAAATTATGATTAAATAAACCACACCACAGCATGATGATTCAGCCAAGGTCTCTAACAACAGATGATAAAAATGTTTCTGTGAAGACTATATATAGAAAGCCTTCCACATTTAGTTCAATCGCGATTATGAATTTTTTAAAAAGCTGTCTCAAGCTTGAGATTGCAGTCATCTTATCTAGCAATGAATCCCTTAAATAAAACTAAATCTACTTCAGAATTAAAGTTGTGCTATTGCCAGTTAATTTTATGGCCTGAACCCCAGATGTAGTATTTACTGATTCTCCTATAGATAAAACTAAGGAATGTAAAAAAATGCCTTGTGGAATTGTCATGTATAGAAACAAGTAAATAAATGATCTGAACAACTTTTTGTTGCATTAAGGGCACTAAAGGGTGTTTATTTTGTTTGTCTCCACAGGGGCTTGTTAAATCGAAACTCCTCCAGTCCAGAGATGGAGTAAAAGGCCTAATGTAAACATCTCAAACATGTTCCTCACAAATTCTTTAAATCATTTTCCCCCCAAAGCACATTTAAGTGCTAATTTCTAGTATTTAGACTTTTGAAAGAAAACTGGCTCAAGGATATAGCACATTATTTCTCGTATGAACTCTTGCATAAACTGATGCATCAGTTTAAAAACTAGACCTTTTTCAATTGTCTTTTAATTTTAATTTAACCTCTCTTGGGCAAATATTTATCTGGTATGGCACTGAATCCTTCAACAAAAGGTACAGGCTTTATGAATGTAATTTTCCTACTACAAACTTTTCTCAAAATCCTATGCCAAGTTTTTCTTTTTCTGCATTAATTCCATTATTAATTCTTATTAATTTAAATTAATTCTTATTAATTTAAATAGAGAAGCACCAGCTATACACAAGATGTTTATGGAGATTCTCAGTCATCTAAGTCATAGTTGTCCCAAAGGTGCTTTCTTTCAAAAAGCAATTTGTTGTTTTTTTGAGCAAAACAAGAAAGCCCAGTTGCCTTTTGAAAACACCTTTGGATTATACATAAGTTATATTTGGAACGACAAACTATTTCAAAATTGTAGTTCACAGAATACATTAACCCAGATATTGCAAAGGGAGGCTTTCTATGGGGCCTCCACTATTCTTTGTGTAGTTCCACCCAAAATGGACAATCTCCAATATCCTGTTCTGCTAGAGATATAGAATTGAGGAAGCTTCTCAATAAAGATCCTGCAGACCACACACTGTATCTGCTTACAAAGGAAAGAGAACAGCGTGGCTTTCTTGTTTGTGCGTTTTAGTCAACAGATGACGTTTTTCTTAGCAGTTGGTGGTTCTTCAGCTTTACTCCTTACTGCGCTTGTCTAATTATTTAGCAAATTATCTGGTATCGTGGCTCAAATTTCTCAGCAGGATTTGGAAATTACGTTCGACAAAGGAGACATTTATTTTATAAGTTTGAATTATGTTTTTTTGTTTTTCTTTTTGGAGGTTGGTCAAAAGGGGCATTGCATTCATTCATTAGCTCATGCTTAAAGATCCTTAAAAGTATAACTTCCCTATCACCATTTCCAAATCCCTCAGCTGTTCACAGATTAACCATTTTACATCCTACATGTGCAGGGCATAGTTTATGGATGATGTCAAAGCACATCTTATTTACAATAGGCAGTTCCTCCTTCTCTTTATTCCTTGGAACATTTTCTTCAATTCCTGTTGGTATAGTGTCTTGGAAGTATGGACAAAAATTGTCACAAGAATTGTCTTTCTAATGCTGCAATGTAATTCATAACTACTGTATGTAAGAATTAGCAATGGTATGAATAAGGAGAAGAATCTATTTGAATGAATAAACCTCATTGTGAACCTTTCTTGTCTATTTCTGTTGTTGCTCAGTCACTAAGTGATATCTGGCTCTTTGCACCCCCATGGACCATAGCATGCCAGGCCCTCATCCTCCAGTGAGTCCCCAAGTCTGCCCAAATTCACGCCCACTACGTCATTCACACTATCTAACCATTCTTGTCAACAGAAATGTCTTCTCCCCGCCACTTCTGCCTAAATTCACAACTGTAGCTTCAGAAGAGATTTTGAAATAATTTTAATAGTCATAAACTAGCTTGCATAGCATGGGTAGGTAAGATGAGAAAAACACCAAATCTTCCATATCAGAGAAGGGGAAGACTCAGATATTCAGTTCATTGGGGTAGGTTTTCATAATGCCCAACCTGTTGTACCCTTATGGACTTGTTAATTACTTAATGACTATCCACTAAACATAGGAACTGTTCTCCAATGAAAACCACTGGGCTTGTACTCAGACATAAGGATATGAAGAAGGTAGGTTGGCTTATTTAACCAGTGATGACCATTTGAGATATGCAAACTGTTATTATTTTGTATTCATCAAATGAAGCCATTCTGAGGTTGCCTGAGAAACAGTGGAAAGGACTGCACTCCTACGTATAAACAACTTGTGGTTGTTTGTGGTTGTATAGAAACCTCCACTTTCCTGCTTAACACTTCCTTGAGCATTTCATGCTTGAAATGATGCTGACTTAAAATACAAGATTTGTGTACTTGTCACGGCAGGAACAGGTTGAAGCTCTATGTATAACAAGCATGCCTGAAGTAGAATTGGATGATATAACTTCCTCAACTAAAACATGCCCAGGCCGTGCAAATCCCCAATTACTTCCATATAGGCATATATACAACTTTTTTTTTTTACAGTAAATCTTTATTTAAGTAAAAAATTACATTTAGTATTAAAGCTGAACATTTGAATTCCTACAATCAAAATGAAAAATCTTTTTGCCAATGAAGGCAAAGGTTATTTCTGAACTTTCAAACCTTGGATGCTTGGGCAGGTGCAAAAAAAATTGAGCACCATCACTGTTTCTTCTTAACATATTCAAATATAAGTTAAAAACATCTATTGGACTGATGCCTTTAATTCTGGACTTTCTTTTGTTCCCCATCATGACCAAAAAATTAGTAATTTTTTTTCTGCATTTTTCTTTTCTTTTTTTTAAGAATTAGCAATCTTTACAAACCCATTTGGCAGTGGGTCACTTAAGAAAACCTATTAGGCATGTAACTGGGATGAAATTTGAATTGCGATTACCTGATTCAAACTTCTCACCTTCCTTATGGTCTCAACACAGTACTACTCACAGTTTTAGCCCTAGTTGAAGATCTCTAAGCTATAAAGCTGATACTGTGGAGCACAGTTCAAGGACATTCACAGGCGTGGTCAAAAACCCAAGATGGTAACCATGATTGTGCCAGGGCATGGTCAAAAAAATCAAGATGATAGCAAAAGCAATAGCACTTAATTTTATATACTCTATGCTGACTCTAAGAGTCAGCATATTGCCCCCAACAATTTGGGTCCTCATTTTACCCACCTCGGAAGGATGGAAAGCCGAGTCAACCTTGAGCCTGGAGAGATTTGAACTGCCAAATTACAGGCAGCCAGCAGGCAGCAGAAGTAGTCTGCAGTACTGTACTCTAATCACTGCGCCACTGTGGCTCATAATGATGATTACAGTGCAATCAAAGCTCTGCAATGTACATGCAAAAGCTTTGATCACATTATTGTAGTCATCACCTTGACTTTTTTGAACACACTTTATTTATTGGAATGGCATCCATTTTCTAGGAAGGCATTCTTAAAATATTCTGACAGGAAAATCGGCATATGTTGCCTCACCCATTTCTAAGTAAACTTTTTCAGGTAAACAAATATTTATTGAAAATACAATCCCTGTGCTAAAGTTATCCTTGTTTAAAACAAGCTTCACAGGGACGTTTCTCCTTACATAAGTATTCAAGCTGGGCTGTTCGTAGTTTCTGCTGCCTTCCACTCTTTGGAAGGGGGCTTCCTTCTACTTCCTTCCTTATGTTGCAAAAAAGTGAGGGTGTGATGTGTTTGAATTATGCCAAGTTTGAACAAAAGAATGAAGTGGGTGAGGCAGAGGAAACTTCCTTATTCCAAGGCTTGAGTAGAAGCTCAAGATGGAACTCTTCTTTGAGCTGAACTGCACTGTGGGAATAAGTACTCATGTTCTCCATGAACCCACCATGGCAGCGATTGTCAGAGTGTTTGCAGCATGGCTATTATTGTGAGACAACCCAGGAGCAAAACACAGCACACAGAGGCTTCCTCTTTTAACAATAGTTTATATACAAGACTGCTATATACATACATACACATGTTAGGCAAATATCTGGCAATCAATCAATCTTGAACTCTATATGGAGAACTACAATGGCGAAACACCCTCTCATGGTCGCCCTTATATAGACAGCTTGTTAAAGTGGCAATAACCCTGCTGACCCATCCTCAATTTTAAATTGGCAGTAGCCCTGCTGACTCATTCGCATTGCATCAGCATTTATAGCAGCCTTACAGCAGGTGGTCAGCTCTTAAATCTTCATTATCTTAACACTCCTCCCATTTAAATCTGAACAGCTGATAATCCAAGTGCTTTAACATATTCCTGATGTTTGTCCACAGGTACAGGCTTTGTTAATATATTAGCTATATTACGGTCAGTAGGACAATGTTGTGACTCCGGGATTGGAATCTGTTCCGTTGGCAGATGTGAGCTCGAGTGAAGAGGATCTGGCAGTGAAATTTGAGCCTGCATTGCTGAGTGATTCTGAGGGCAGCCAGGATGAGGAAGTGGACTTGGCTATGAGAGACGAACCTAATTTATTGAAGCTGTCAGAGTCTTCTACCTCCCCCGAGTCTCCCTCTCTGATTATGCAGCAGCCGGTGGTAGATAATCAGGAAAATGGGCGAGAGGTTTCAGGAGAGGAGGAGACCTTGGAGGGATCCTGGCTTGATGTGAGAAATAGATGGAGATTGAGACGTCAATCTCAATTGGGAAGGAGGCGTCGAGCTGATAATTAATTGATGAGACTAACACGCCCCCTTAGGGGATAAAAGGAAATGGATTGGCTTGAGAAATTTGCCAGAAGCAAAGTGTCTTGTTAGAGCGAAAGTCTTATGAAGATTCTCTGAGGCATTGTGGTTCATAGGCACTTCAGGTTTGCCAAACAGATATCGGAATTATTGCTGAGGACTGGAAAAACTTCAGCAGTTATCTTGGTTGGGGTTTGTTTTTGGTTCCTTATATTTTTGGAACTTCTGAATTGTGATTGCTTACCTGTGGATACAGGTGAGGCATAACAGGACAATGCTGTAATTGTATCAGTTTCTCCTTTACACCCTCCCTAACATTACAGTATTTGATGTCTACGTTACAGTATCTGATGTATTTGATCTCCTGATGCCATTTTTCGGTTCCCAACCTTTTCAGTTTTGTGGATTGGCAGTGGTGGTGGTAGTGGGGAGGGGAAAGGGATGGTTTGTCACACATACTGCTTGCATGAATGCAGCTTCATGCGCTCGCCTGATGCTTGCACAGCCCGGGTCCCAACAGGCCTTGGCTGGCACAGGGCCACGAACAAAGGGTGGGGAATCCCTGGGCCATGATATTGTGGCTGGAAATCTGAACGGCACACACTCACGTGGTAGCTTTAAGGAAAGGTTAACAAATCCATCTTGGTTTCGTGCAACCCAGATTCTGTAGCTTGGAATTATCATTATTTCACTCCAGGTAATAATTGGACGTTCTTGTTGTCAACTAGGCCAGTCTAGGGAAGAAAACAAAGTTGAGCAGTGCTCTGCTTTTTTCTCATAATTTCTTGGATGTAATTCCAGGAGAGTGCTTAAAAATGACTTGGGAGAGAAGAGTCTCTCCATATTATTGGTGGAAGAAAAATAGAAAACTGTGCCAACAAAAGGAGAAGAATTTTGTTAAGA